GCGACTGCCATTGTTTTTTTAATACAGATATAACTTCACATGGTAAAGGAACAAGATGAAAAACTCCCTCTTTAGGAATTATCATAAACTAAAAAAACTCTTCTTTTGTCTTTATATTTAACAAAGGCGATATAAAGAAAACAATAACAAAGTCAACATCACATGTGGAACAATGAGCTTCTAATTTGAACTCATTTTGTTTCCCCCTAAAGCTACACATGTATAAAGAGAGAGGAAAATAAACCACCCTTAGCGAACAACACCAGCTGCACACGCTGGCAAACAAGTGGAAAAATGCAGCATCTCAGCTGAGCTCATCTCTCGCAGTGAAGGAATAGAGGGATCAAAAATCAAAGATCAAAAACCAAACCTTTTTAATCCAATTTAGATCAGAAATGATATCCTGTCAAATCCGGTCATACCGCTGAATAATAGAACTGAGAAGGAACTTCAGCTACAGCACTTCCCAGAGAGAGTCTACAGAACCTTAGCTGTGAACCCCTGGCTTTTACTGGGGATTTACAGCAGGGGAAGTGATTTGCACCAGTGCCACTAAATCTGCACACAAATCCAGTATATTAATGTTAGTGCAGGGACACACACACAAAAAGACACCCTGTGAATCACAGACCAACAGGGGCAGCAAGGCTGCATTTCTAGAGCACCTCTCTGCTCCAAACCTGTACAAAAACACCGGATACTCTGGAGGATCATGTTTCCCAGTTCTCTTTGTTGTGCCAGGAGCAGAGACAAGGCTTCACTCCACTTCAGTCTTGTTTCCCTAAAGCAACAGGAGGGGAGGGGAGGAGGACCATATTAAAAAAGCTGGTTGGGGAATGAGAGGAGAGGTTTGTTTGTTTCTGTCAGAACCACCATGGTGTGTGACGCTGTCTTGTTGAGCTTTGCATTGCTTCACCCTGCAGGTGTTTATCTGTGGAAAAAAACAGTAGGTCTGCACGAACCAGACGGTTCAATATCATGAACTCATATTTCAGGTTCACTGCCTTTCACCCTGCCAGTAACAAAGACAAAGTTCTTGGCCACAGTTGAAATCAGTTGCTGATACTGTTTGAGCTGCCCTTATATAAAACATAACCGACAGGTTAAAGTCAACCGCTGTAAAGATGCATATTGACAGGAAGCGCTGCACACATTAAAGCTGCAGGTTCCCACTCCAACTCAGTAATAAGTCTGAGCCCTGGACAGTGGTGAGCCGTCATACCAGTGCAGCTCCGCCTGGACGACTGGCTGATGTTTGTTAGAACCCGCTGTTGTGACTGGAGAGCTGGCCTTGTTAATGTTAGGGAGTGCAGGAATGAACACTATGCAGCTCTAATGAGCGACGCACAGGCCTCGTGAGCAAAGATAAGTCAAGCAAGAGGGCAGGAGGGAGGAAAGTAAGAAGCATCTAAACACTTGTCACTGATAGTATTTGTATTACTTTATCTCATTTTAAGATTGAACAACGCAAAGATTCATTAATTATACTGTAGTCTCATAGTACTAGGGCAGTAACTAGTACAAGGACTGAATTTCCTTGCACTGCACTAGGTTTTACATTATAAATTTAAGGATATTTTACTGTACCCCATTCCATAGTTTAAATAGTGTGCCTAAAGATAACACAATGTACAAACCTTTTGTCATCTCCCTGATTGCTGGTACACAGGTAACACTGATGTATACCCGCCAGCCCACCAGGTGG